TGAAGTTGTTTTATACCATTTGTGCTATTTTCTGCTTTTTCACTGACTCTAATAAATCTTAAGTTTTTCTTCTTTGCCTCATCTAGGAGCTGCTTGATTGATTTCTTATGGTCTGTTGTTATTTTTAATAAATCTTTCTTTTCATCACCGCGAATCACAAACTTATCTTCTATATTTGAGATCCTGGCCTCATGTTGGCTTAATCTGCTGTGGATACTTTCGATGGAATTTTTATTCTCCTGGTATCTGCTTGAATCTGTCTCATGAATTCCATTTCTTTCCTATGCTGAGCATTCCTAGCTTCCATAATTTTCTTAAGCTCCACATTTTTTTTCAATCTGTATCTACTCTAGAGTCACTAAGCATGGTTTTCATTGTGGACACTATCTCTATAGTTAATCTGACAAATTATTTCTGATTTGATTTTTTTCTAGAGCCTCATTCAATTGCTTTGCTGTTACCACTTCAGAGAGACCAAGTAGGTAGCTTTCAGATTGTCTCATTTCATTGTCCCCTGCATTTGCCTTTGGTAAACTGAATGTCTGAGGTTGCATCTTGTTTAGGTTTTTTCTCATTTTCTTTATTTTCTTTTTAGTTTAATTCATGGGGTGATGCCTGTAAATGGTCTATGGTAGGTTGCTTTACTGCTATATTTAGAACTATTAGGAAATGACTATTATACTTGGGTATCTTCTAGGTGTAGCTGGTTTTTGAGTCATCTGTTGTAAGATCCCACTTCTTCAATTTGTTGGGGATGAGAAGTTGCTACCTTGTTGGCCCAGCCCCTGGCTCTTCAGCACTGTGCCACAGTATTTTCTATGACCCTTAGTCAATCTCAGTCTTGGAATACCAGGAAGAATAGCTGTTTAAAACAGTTATGTCACTTTTGGCTAAAGTGGTACTATCAGCAATAAAAACAGCACAAACACAGCCTACAAAAAGACAAACTGAGGTAACCATTAAATTGTCATCTTTAACTGTATGAACTAGATTTGTGGTTATATAACAAAATCTACAACAAACCAGAAAATTACATGCAGTATATAAGTCCTTAATATGTCAAATTTTCCCTCACTGATTAAAATTTAAAAGGGGTTAGGGAGAAAATAGAAAAGTAGAAGAGGAAGAGATCAGAAGTAAGGCTGGAGGACAAAGGGGAACGTGCTAACTTTGGGAAACTGGTGCAGAAGACTGGAGGGAAAGAGAAGAGATAAAAAGAATAACAGAACAGAAAACAACCACAAATAGGCTAGAAACCATGTTCACACATTCATATAAGAACAAGATGAAACAATGAAGGGGGGAGAAAAAAAAATAAAAGGCAGAAACAATACCACCACCACCACAACAAAAATGAGAAAGACAACAAGAACAAAAACAAGAAAGAAAAAAGTCCACTTCCAGGTCTGTCTCTGCTGTCACTGGTGGACAGCATGTGGAGATAGAGACCAGATCCATGCTGACCTATTCCTCCAAGTTGGCAGTAGCTATCTGGCAGCGTAGTGGATAAACTCAGCAGGCCTGCACCTTCTGACTGTGACCAGACTCATTCGGTCTGCAGCCCTCATAGCACCTCCGGTGGGCCTGAGCCCAGCTGGAAGCTGCTGGACGGAGCAGGTAGCCTCTCTGCGTTCTGAGCTCACCTGGTCCCTCTCCAAGATGGCTCCTGGCCAATCATTCTCTCATGTGGGACAACTGAGCCCTCAGCACTCACCACCACCTAGTGCAGTCCTTCATATCCACTGGTCCCCTCCACTGCTGTCTGTCTCCATGGAGTCCTCTGGGGTCACCAGCAGTCACTATGTGCCCGCAGGTTTGAATCGCTCCTCTCAAACAGTGAGTCCTGTCTCAGGGAGAGGCACTGCCAGCTACCTCCTTCTTCTTTGTTGAAGTTTCTCTCTTGACTCTCACAGTGGGCTTCAATTCACACTGATTCAGATCCTTCCTAGGTCTGGGAGGGCCAGTTCCCTCCTTTTCATCTTCCTCGCATTGCTATATTCCAGCATCTGGACAGCAACTCCCAGAGAGGCTCTTATTCTCCACCATGCTGGCGCTCCCACCTCAGGGACATCTTATCTTTCCAGTTCTTTGAATCTGTGTATCTAAAGAACAGCTCCTTGCTTAAGGAACACCTGACCTAGTAGTTTCTTTTTACCTACAGGAATTTTCTTAAATCTTCACTATTTATGTTCAAAAGTTTTATGAACACTATACATCATTTGACATATATATTACACCATTACACAGAAAACATTTATCTTAAAGTCTTTTACTTTTTTCTACTAATTGTCAGTTTATAATGTTTTAATTGGAAATATACCCATCCATGTTAGTTACATGGGTATGCTTAATATGTAAAACTTCACCAAGCTGTAAGGTTACAAATTGTGCACTTTTACAATAAAGTCAGGCATGGGGGCACATTCCTGTAACTCCAGGACTCTGACAGGTTGAGGCAGGAGACTACAAATTCAAGCCCAGTGTAAGCACCATGGTAAGATTCTCCTGTCTTTAAAAAAAAACAAAAAACTTGGATGCAACAGGTCAGGGTGAAGGCCCTAGTCAACCACTAGTACCAAACAGCACTTACAAACACTCAAGTAAATACCCTCAATAATGTCTAGTCTGAGAAAAATGGGAAAATGTGTATGTGTATGCACATGCAATAAATAAGATACTGCTCATGAAAGCATATGCCAATACTTGGCATCCATAAGACCTTGGGAAAACAGCATGCACACAACTACTCTGATAAATACTGGGATTTAAAGATAGCACTAAACTCAAAATACAGGAGAACAAAATTGCACCTAAAATAATAGGAGACAAAGGGGACAAACTACAACAGTGAGAATTCTCTTTACCTATTATACTGGAATTCTAATCACCTGCTTTATCCAACAGACACACACCAGTCCTGAGGGGATACGCATCTTACCTCCTACTGCACAGGTTCAAGAATGACCTTCTTAGTCCCTGAAAGCAAGTGCACCTGTCCGAGTCAGAGGCTCGGAGGGCAGGTGCACTTCTCTAACTTATAAAGTAACACGTGGTGACAAACCTGAGTTATTTGAGGAGCACTGAATATGGTAAATGGAGCTCCTTCTGACAGTAATTAACATAAATTAAACACTGATGGCACTTCATTGGTATCATGATCCTTAACGTTCCCATACTGTATTTTACAGTTTAAGATACAGCACCGGCTTCACTATTTCTGGCACTGTAATTACCACTAATTTCACCCTAATAAGATCCTACCTGTACTGTGGATTATTTGCTTGACTTGTTTCTTTTTCTCACAGCTGAAAAACAACTGCAAAGAACACCAGGCTCTGACTGCCTCTTTTGTCTGCAACCGATTCACAGAGTTTTAAGCTTTAAAAGCCCTTCTACAATCCTCCTCTGGGGTGTCCCCAGGACCGTTCTCTCTCTGCTTTCAAAACCATCCCGTTTTGTCTGTCTAGGGACAGCACTTGGCATACTTCACTTCATACCTCCACAGTGAGCAAGGCTGTGCCTGCCTTGTGAGTGCCAAACCCCTCCACACCACACTGCTCACCAGCTTGTGCTTTACCAAGGGAGCTGACAGAACAATGCTTGTTAGACACAAGTGAATCCCAGCATCTCCCCAGGCATCAGGAAGCCCTCTACAAAACACCAGGGTCTGCTTCACAGGCATATCATCTGAGAAGTCTCGATTCTCTCTCTCCCTCCCCTCTTTGCCCTTTCCCGCTCTATCCCCCCATCCAGACAGGGTCGCACTATGCTCACTTTGTAGCCCAGGCTAGTTTTGAACTCTCAGCAATCTTCCTGCCTCAGCCACCCAAGTGCTGGGATTACAGAAGTGTGCCACCACACCCGGCTAATGCTCTTGTTCGGTTCTATGATAATAAACTGCTAGAGATAAGATTGCCTTTGGAAACACCAGACGATGGGATGACACTGTTACCCTTTGCTATGACCATCACACCTGGGGCAGGTGATTAGCTTCTTCTACCCAAACTGCTCAAGCAATGCTGATGTGATTTGAGCACGAAATCTCCTTTTCCAAGACAGCAAAAATAATTTACTTATTTCCATTTCATGCAACTGTGGTTTTTAAGGTGACAGGTGGCAGGTGGAAATAAAACACCGGCTTTCATAAGCCCTTTCACAGCATAATGACAATTTCACTAGTTACAGCTTACCAACTACTTTCACACCTGCTGGATACTAGTTCCACCCTTCAGTGTGGGTTTTATACAGGTATGCACACTGCTAAGAGATCACAAAGGTGCAGTGTGAAGCTGTGCATTTATGTATAATTGGTGTTACTTCCATCAACATACTCTTCTTTCCTAAGCAACTGAGAAGGCAAAGGTACGGTACCATTGCATTTTGATTTCTCAATCTTTCCTAGTTTTTGTTTTTCTTTTCTTTCTTTTTTTTTGGTGTGTGTTAGTAGTACTGTACTAGGAACTGAACCTAGGGCCTTTGCACTGAGCTATACTCTAGCCCTTTTATTTATTTATTTATTTTTTTGAGACAGGGTCTCACAAAGTTGCCCAAGCTGGCCTAAAACTTGTAATCCTCCTGCCTCAGCCCCCCAGAATGTCAAGATTACAGGCATGGATCAACACACCCAGTTTTCTCAGAACTGGATCGGGAGTATAGGTTAATGGTAGAGTACATTCTTAACATGCACAAGGTCCTAGGTTCAATCCCTAGCACGTGCACATGCACACGCATACAGAACAGAAAGTGCACATGGCACAATTTCAGGAGAGTTCAGCTACTTCTGGATCCTGCCTGAAAAGGAAAAGTGGCCCAAGACTCTTGGAATATAACGATATATAATGATATAAAGGCCACTGGGTTAACCTACAAGAACACTTCAGTGCATACCAAGCAGTTCAAAGCTTTCAAGCATTGCCAAAGGGTTCTGGTGCCCTGCTGTCCCCCGCACCGGCCACCCACTGTAACTGTCCCTGCAGAAGCCACAGGAAGTCTGCACCCACCTGGTCACACCCTGCGTTCACCAACTCCTGCAGCATTTGCCGGTTGACCTCAGTAACAGCAGAAGTGCCTGATTCATTGGCAAACGGCAACAGGGAATATCTGATTTCCCTGAGTGCTTTCTGATAAGGTCCAAATTTTGGGGTGGCTCTCATCTGCTGCTGCCTGGCGGCGTCCTTGCTCCCCAGCACTTTGGCATCCAGAGCAGCCTCACTGTTTGGTCCCATGGGCAGCCCCTGAGAGGAAGGCTTGGAGGGCTGCTTCAGCCCTTCGCGGATCTCCTGCAGTCGCTGCCGGCTATTTCCAGAGTAAGCTGTGGCAGGAAAAGTCTTTGGCCTCATTGTTAGTCCAGTTTCCTTTTACCATAAATATAATCTTCTCAGAGTGTTTTATTATTTTTTTTAAAAGCTGTACAGTATCAGTTAGTTGTAAACATATTTTCAAAACAATCTCCTTTTGAAAAGGTTCTTTCCTTCAATTTTTGTAGTTCCTATGAAGAACTAAAAATTTCCGGCATCTTCATTTTGAATACCATCGCTCTGAAAAAGAAAATAAATAGGAGAAAAATGTTCACTTGTGGTTTTCATGCAATGTTAGTGCTACTTTTCAGAAATGGACAATGATCTCAGAAATACTCCTAGAAGCGACAAAAATACTGTTCAACTCTGGTCAGAGCACATGACATCTGTTCCAAAATGTTCCCTGTAACATGTAGTCTACCATCAAGTAAATCTCCATAATATATATATAGAAAGTCAGGGTAAGAAAAGCAGTTTGAACAATTGATAGCTCATTTAAAATATTTCACTATGGTGTCTCATTCTCTGCACGCCCACACTCCCTTCTGAGTATGTGCTTTTTTTCTTTCAAAACAAATCTTTTCCATGCTTCCTCACTGCCAACTCCTGAAAATTCTTTTTCTGCTACAGGAGTCAGCAAACTTATTCTGGGGGTAGGGCCTAGCAGCCATGGCGGGGGAAGCAAAATGGAACGCGTCAAGCTGTTGCTATCTGTTCTGCTGGCGGTGCGTTCCGAGGCTGCGCAGTGGGACTGTCACTGTGGGTATGGTGGTCAGGCTATCCTGAGCGGGAGCAGGACTCCCAGGGCTGCAGCTGGCACCCCGTTGCCTGTGATCACCAGCACAATGGCGCTTCCTCTTCCTGGTGACCTCTGTGGGCTGCTGTGTGGCCTGCAAGGAGAACTACTGTCGTGTGATCACCTTTGCCACCTTCCTGTCTCTTATTATCCCAGTGGAGGTGGCCACAGCCATTGCCAGCTACGTTTTTAGAGACAAGGGGATATCAGAGTGTAATAAGGGCTTCCAGCAGCAGAGTTACCAAACACTGAAACGGAGAGCCATGACACAGCTGCATTCCTGGACAAGCTGCAATAAAATTGGGGTGCTGTGGGCCGCTCGCTACACATATCTGGAAGAACATCCTAGCACGGTGAAGGACCAAGTCCTTCCCGGCTCCTGCTGTGCCAGTGTCACTGTGGGCTGTGGAACCAACTTCAGTGTGCACACTCTCCACACCAGGAGCTGTGTGGAGAGGCTCTGGGCCTGGCAGGGACAAAATGTGTCGCAGCCCTGGCCCTGCTTTTGTTGAGGTCTCTGCCCGTGAAGACCATCCCATCACTGCGTACATGCAGTGATGTACGCGTCTGGTCTCTCTGGCCCTCTCATCCAGGGGAGTGAAGCAGGACTCTCCAGGTTTTTCAATTAAACGGATCATCTTGTCAGACCAATATATACATATATATACATACTTATTTTAAAATCCTCGCTTTAGTACTTAGGGTTAAACTTTCTACATGGATTTCTCGCTTGTCCCAATAGCCGATCAACTCGTGGTCCAGACTGTTGTCCCTCATCTCACGGTTCTCCCCGTTTCTCTACCCACCTGCTGGCTCTGACCCCCTCTTATATTTAGAAAGTTTCCTCAGAAAGCCCTCCCAATTTGCCTGAAAGCCGTCACAAAACTTGCTTTGCATTAAGGGTGTCCTGCATCAAAGCACTTCCCCACACAACACACCGTGGGCTGAAGGTAGGGTTCTTCCTGGATTTTTACATGGTGTCCACTTAGTATTCTGACCCGAACACACAGGAAAGGGAAGGGAAGGGAAAGGAGGGGAGGGAAGGGGAAGGAAGGGCGAAATTGATAGCTATATGGATGGGGACTGGTAAAAGCATACGGCAATTTCTTTCTCAAGAGCACATGGGACCCATCAGCAGCGCGTGGCTGTCCCATACCAGCGAGTAGTGCAGACCACCTGTGACTGGCATGGAAACGAGCTCCTTGTGTAGAACCAGAGGTGCGACGTACTTCTCCATAGTGAAGTAGCCTCACCCTAGCCCACGACTTCACCGAGCACTCTGCTATTTCATCCACAAGCCAAAATCCAGCCCAACCTGACACTGCCGCCGGCAGCGAGCTGGCCAGAGGTCCTCTCCTGCCGCACCTAGCATCGGGCCGTGTGTGCAACAGACACCTGCCTGGAGCCGCGCTGCTGAGCACTGAGAGGGAGCAGCTGGACCTGCAGCACTGGTGGCCTCCGATTTGGAGGGTCTGGCTTGTAACTGCAACTTCAGGATGCACGGACGTGACAGGCATTCGACGGAGACCGTGCTTCACGGTGCAGCGATGTGCTGGTCTGCACTCCAGGTCTCCTGACGCTGGGCAGCAGTGGCGACGCAGCTCCCAGTCACGAGGGGAAGCAGGCCGCTGCGCTAGGCACCGAGGCCGGCTGGGGGAGCAACTACGTCTTCCACCTCAATCCTGCCAACTTGCGGGTTTACCAGGAACCCCTACCACAAGCTGAGGAGTATCTTAAACAAGCAGAACCCTCATACCCGCCACTGTGCGGCTTCTCACATAACTCGCTGTGCGAACCTGCAGGGATGCCCACCGGTGACCAAGATGCCGCACACCCCGCCAAGGCCTCATGGGCGGCACCCTTGCCTTCCTGTCCTTTGTCCTCACCCACTACCTGTTATTCCACAGAAGCCAAAGACAGACCCGGGGAGAATGATTCTTTCCCTTTCTCTCTTTCTCTCTTTCTCTCTCTTTCTCTCTCTCTTTCTCTCTCTCTTTCTCTCTCTCTTTCTCTCTCTCTTTCTCTCTCTCTCTCTCTCTCTCTCTCTCTCGTTATTTTTTTATTTTTTGCTGGTATTTATTTATTTACTGGTGGTACTGGGGATTGAACCCAGGTACTGAGCCTTCACACTCAGCTATATCCCTTCCGGCCCTTTAAATTATTTTTTCCTCTGGGACAGGGTCTCACTAAGTCTCTGAATTTCTCCGGCTGGGCTTGAACTTGTAACCCTCCTTCCTCAGCCGTCCAGAGTGCTCTGACGGCAGGGGTGCTGACAAATATGCTTTACTTGACGGTTTTAATGAACCAAGGAAATCTGTTTTTTAAAAATAGCACCTTTCCAGAGAGGAGAGGCAGAAGGGTCTGGAGTTTAAGCATCAAAGGACCCTTATTACTTAAATGAGGCCCTGCTTCGTAACTGTTTTCACACATGGGAAAAATAAGTAACGGTAACTAATGTTCATCCATTACTTACTGTTTGCCAGGCACTGTGCCCTGAGTTTTCTATGAATTAACTTACACGAATCTACTACATGACTGTAAGCAAAAGGGACACTCGGAAATGACATGACAATGACTACTCTCCTTCCTTAGACGGGACAGTGGTCTTTAAGATTCTAACTAACTACTTTTCTCAGTGTAACTGAGGAAAGATTTCACCCAGAAGGTAGGAACCTGACTTTCTCAACATGAAATCCTACTTATCACACGACTTCTGATATTTTAAAGGCACTGGAACTGACTGAGGCTGCAGAGCCAACAGGCTGCGACCCGGGGACAGCAGATACTCCCCTGGGCCCGGGCTGGCCAGGCCCCGAGCCCAGAGCTCTGCTTAACCGATGTAAAATGGGCGTCCTGCAACCATGCTCACTTCCAGTGACTTCGTGGTCTGAGCATCTGTTTTGAAAGACCTAACTTTCTGAAACCATAAGCTCACATTCCAGCAAAAGTGGAGGGATCTTCAGGGCCTGCTAAGCACGTATGGAGGATGTCTGGGGAAAAGCACGAGAGCTATTTCTTTCCTGGTAGGAATGTGCGCAGAGCACCTGGTGTGCGATACTTCCTTCTTCCCTTTCTTTGAAACCTAAAACAAAGAGGACGAGATCCCGTACCACCTTGCACCTTCACAACAAACAGAGCACACAGAACCCATTCATCCCTTGCCCACCGGTCAACAAGGTACCTCCCTCCACCTCCGAGTTGTTTATCAAATGCCTCCTAAGCCCCAGGCACTGAGAGGAGGAAGAAAAAAAAAATCTCTCCTTCAGCAAGTTTGCAGTCCAGTGACAGCTGAAGGTGAGGGAGGCAGATAAATAGCTTTGGGGGAAAAAACCCACCCCAAACAAAGAGGGACTCATACCAGCGAGGGCGGAATCCAGGAAAGTCATTAATGGCCTTGCAGTAGAGACAACCAGTCTGAGCACTGGGAAGAAGTGAATCCCAGCTGGAGGGAAGCAGAGGCAAAGAACACACACTCAGGATCTGCCAGGGGGCTCTTGTGGGGCCACCGGGGCCTGGGGTGCAGCGGCCCCATGCGGAACTGCCCTGTGGAGTGGAGTCTGGAAGCTGAGGGAGGGTGAGAGGGCCGGGATGAGTCACCACTCCAAGCAGACAAGCGGTGCTAGGCTGGGGAGCAGCAGCCTCAGGAAGGCGCGGGGCTCCTGGTCCTCCATCACCGTGGCCAGAGGGCTAGGGTTACAGGCACAGGCGGAGATGGGGAGCCACCAGGTGAGCCAGAGGCTCACATCCCCCCAGGGCACTTCTAGGGGAGCTGCTTCATCTCCATCAAGTGACACTGGCAGACTGCAAGGAAGGGCCAGCCGCTGACTCCGAAAGGGCAAGGGCTGTAGGCGCGACAGTCCAGGGTGAAGAAGAAGAGCCACGATAAAGCTCATGTTAAAGCTAGGACAGGAGGACTCGGCTGGGGATGCAGCTCGGCGGCACAGTGCCTGCCTGGCAAGCATGAGGTCCTGAGTTCGATTCCCAGTACCTAAAAAGAAAGAGAGGACTGGAGCGCCTCTGCCCAGTCCCATCAGCAGACGGAGGAGACTGGGCAGGAGCTTGAGGGCACCCTGGTGAGTTCTCAGGCTTCAAAGCTCTCCCTTGAATTTGCCCTAAGAAGGGGAGGCACTGGGGGCCATAAGGCACTGGGGTGACCCTTTTACCTAATACACACACTGAGAGCCCACAATCGTAAGGCCGGCATGTGCTCACTGAGAGCAGCACTCTTGCAAACACCATCCCCGCGGCCCAGGCGCCCTGCTCCCACGGGCGGCCACCCAACAGGGACCAGGCTCCCGACTTGCAGTGCCGAGCTAGGCCGACCAGCTCGCGCACCTCCTACCCATGGAACGATGCGGGCAGTGCCTTCTGTCCCCTACTGCACACACCGCATTTGCTTATGCGAGCCGGCGATGCCCAGTGACGACCGCCACCCACTGCCCGCATCTCCCATAATGGACGCACCCTTCCTGCCCGGTGGACATTAGCCTGTGCCCACCCTGCTGCGCCACGTGGTGCCACTGCCTCTAAGGCTGTCACGGGGCGACGCCTCACGGGCTGCTTCCCCATGTCAAACACATCCTGTTTAGCTACAGGCAGAGCCCATGGCGGCTGGTGCAGTGTCTGGCAGGATGCGTCAAGGTGCTCTCCCTCATGTACCTGTGCTACCCTGTTACTGGGCAACACCCACAGCTGTCCCAGGAAGCTTTCTAGAGGGCCGTGCACAGCAGAGCTGGCCACTCACAGCACAGACCTGTCCGGATACCCCACGTCACAACCAGCACACACATCCGGCTAAGGGACCTGGAAAGGGAGCCCACCGGCTGGTGGGAGCTGGGCAGGCCTCTGAGGAACAGTAGCAGGGAGACCAGGTGGACCCTGCAGAATAGTACGTGCTTGACACACGTATGTGTGCCCTTATCAGGGCAGGTGACTCTAAAGCAAGTACTCAGCCATAAAAAGGACATCCTGTCTGTCACCGGCCACAGAGACTGAGGACCAATGCTAAGTGAAGCCAATCACAAAATGCCAAAAACTGTATGATTCTACTTACTGTGAGTTATTGGGATTAAGCAAACACCAAGAGACAGAAAGGACAATAGAAGTTACCAGGAGCACAAAGAACACAGTTACTGCTTAAGAGGTTGATGAAAAAGTTTTAGGAGGAAACAGTCTGCGGTGATGACATGAATGCATTTAACGTAACTGGACCATACATTTATGAATGGTTAAAATAGTATGTACGTTTCACCTCAATTTTTAAAAGGGGGAACGAGTCATCTAACTATTCATATCTAGTTACCTAGTGTTTGGATACTGATTCCTTCTCTAAACACCACTACACAAATAAAAGGCCAACCCCAGACACAGGGCAAAGTCCCCACCCACAGAGAGGTCTAAACTCCAAGGGCAGCAGCACACCCCTAACCTACTGCTCCCCACTGCACGACAGTGAGGCACCCCAGGGAGACAGTGGCCATGGAGCAGCCACGTGTCACACAGACATCCCACTCCTAAGATCACCCTGGGCAGACGAGACCAGCACTTGTTGTTGGTGCCTGTATTTCCACACGAGCTAAGAATTACCAGAGTGCTGGCCCTTCAACAGCAGCAGGGTCAGCAGTCTTGGTTTTTCTTTTCTCTCCTTTCTCCCCATCCACATTCTCTTACAGAAACTTTCAAACCTACAGAAAGGTTGAAAGGACGATTCTGACACCCCGTAAAAATCTACCCGATGGTTGTCTTTAGTGTCCTCGTGGAGAGAAAGACACCGTGCCCTGCTCTGACTTTCTTTCCATCTCAGTCTTGCAGAAGCACTGGAAAGAAGGATGTCCTACTTTGTCCTGGTCTTTTTAAGAGAATCTATACCAGCACCTGCAGGTTGAGGATTCCCTCCTTCCACCCGCTCACCTGTGTTCTTCTCTGGACACTCGGAAAGAATGAAACTTCCCTTCAGGTTCACAAAGATCGGAAGTATTTTCTCAGCCCAAAGGTTGTCATTCAAGCTTCATTTGAAGATAGTTGAAGCACTCATAGGTCAAACAGTGACTACATTTTAACAAGATTTTACATGTGGCAGATTTCCTTTCATCAGGAGTTTTATAAATAGGACCCTCAGGGATGTGAACTTTAAAAAATGGGGATATGAAGTAAAATGAATTTAATTTTTGAAATTTGTTTGGCATCACCAATAGACTGAAGTATACATTAAAAGCAACTACAGGACACTGAAATTTAAAAACTGTAACAACCCACAAAACAAAAACACTTCCTTCTTGAATGTGGAGCTGACTGCCCTGCTTGCCTAGGTGGCTTATGTAAACAATGTGAGAGCCATACTTTAAGCTGCCCTTTAATTTGGTCATATCAAAACCAATTCCAATTCTCAAGCCAATCCTGGAAAATGCTATCAGATGGTCAAGAATTTTTATTCTAATTTCTCCTAGTGCTTCAGAAACCCACACGGCTGCCAAACACACATCAAGCACCAACCATGGAAGCAAACCAACTATGGAAAGGAACCAACCAAACCCATGTCTTGTGGGGCCCGCACTAACGACACATGCTGGCATTTTTAAAAACAGTATTTCTTGGACCTAAAACTCCAGTTATTATTTAAATCATATCCCTACTATAATTAACTACCAAGGCTCAAACTAAATCAGGCAGAGGGGTCAGGCCTGGAGCCAGATGCTAAATGTCAGAATCATAAACCACCACTTGGACGTTCCCACTCCAGCACCAGCCAGACCAGGAAGCCGCAGGCAGGGCTCCCCTCAGAATGAGGGTCTCTGAGGAGAGCAGTGACTGCATTCCTCTGGAGATTCAGGGAAACACTGCAGACAGAGGGACTCCCACTGTCCAACCACAGCATCGTCACAGGGCCTCGGGCTTAGCACTGCACTGGACCTTAGAGCTATCGCCCTAATAAGACAGTGTCTCTCCTCTAAATAGGCCCAGAGTCTAGGAGGGAAGAGATTACCACATTCCCTACATTCACCACTTTCCCTATGAAACACTTCAAGTTATCTACACAGTACATATTATGCAAATCTCTATGGTAAAAATTATCCGACCCACAGAAATTTGTACTCAAGAGCTCAACAGGATGACCAGGTTGTAGATAAATTTATTATTAGTTCTTTGCAGGGTTCCTTACAAGCAGGCAGCTGATCAGCAAGAATGTTCTTCCAGTCACTACCACACCAGCAGGGGTTCTCGGACCTGAACATGCCCCTGCCTCCTTGGCACCCAACTCTCCAAGTTCTGGATACACCCCAACAAGACAGGCAGAGCACCCGCCCCATCTGAGAATTACTGCTATGGATGGAGGTCAGAAATCCTGCGGCCCACCCATGTCTACAGCGGCACAGTTTGGAACAGCTAAATCATGGAAACAGTCCAAATGCCCAACAACTGATGAACGGGCAAAGATGTGGGGTCTTTTTATACAATGGAGTACTACTGAGCAATAAAGGATGCATTTAGGACATTTGTAGGTAAATGGATGGGCCCTGAGACCATACTCTTCAGCGAAATAAATCAGACCCACATGTAAATACTGACTGTTTCTCTGGTGTGAGAAACCAAGTGTAGGTAAGGACCAAAATGTGTAGTAGACATTGTGAAATAGGAGAAAGTGTTCAAATGGGAAGGGGAACCAGGGAGGGGGAAAGGAAGGAAAGGAAAAGAAAAAAAGAGAAAAGAAGGAAAGCATGGATCCTAAGCTTTTGTAAATCGGGAGGGAAAGAGGGCTTGGAGGGAGAATAGAGGAAAGGGGAAAAAAAAGATATATCATGCACAGGTACAAACTGCCTCTGGTGAATGCGATCATTATGTATATCTAAGATGTACCATACACTTAATTAAAAAAGAAATACTGTGACCACCCCAGGGCCGGACAATGGCATGTGCCTGTTTCTACCAAGGAGCACAATTCTTCAGGGCGGTGTTGAGATTATTTGGAGAAAGCCTTCTTGGGGCTGGAGATTTAGCTCGGCGGCACAGCGCCTGCCTGGCAAGCGGGAGGTCATGAGTTCGATTCCCGGTACCGGAAAACAAACAAAAAGAAAGCCTTCTAGAGAAAGCAGTATTTCACCAAACTGGAGAGGTCGGAGGGCTCTGACTCGATGGAGGAAGCCTGAAACTATTCTTAGTGTGGACTTCCTGTGAAAAGGCTGAGGCATGGAAGAGAGGGAGGAACAGGCCACCAACACTGGGGCAGGGGCCGTTGCCATCCGGACAGTGATAAAGAAACAGGCGTGAACTCCAGAGGTAGTAATCGAAGGCTCTCCCTTTAGCATTCCCGCCCAAGGAAACTGCCTGAAGGCGGAGGGGCTCGTGATCCAGAGAGCTGCTCATTCCATCCAACTTGCACTCTTTAAAATCCTTACCATCCCGATTCAGAGCTCACCGACCTGTGTTATACACGCGTTAACAAATACACACCACTGCTCACTAAAAAATACGCACTTTTTTCCTTCCTCCACAAAAAGTCCTAATGTTGGCACACACACACACGAAGAATCTGCTAATTAACTTTTTAAAAACCACTCCTCACAATGAAGCCGACGGGGTCTACACAGTAACCCACATAAAGTCTTTGCAGCGTGAATGGCGAACATTAAGCAAGGCCAAATTTCCACCCTAATCCGAGCTTCACCACCAATTATCTCCATTTCCAACATCACTTCACTAACACTTTCACCATGAAACAACAAATCAAATGACATCAGCCTTGCAGGGACCGCGAGGGCCGCTGACATCCACTGGGTGACTTCAGCAGCCAACCAGCGCTGCATTCCAACCGCAGAGCCAGCACCCACGGCGCATCACCTGGCCTGCCTGGCATACCGCGACTCGATCAGGAGGCCCAGGCTGTCCTGAGCAAGCACAAGCTACACGCTGTTCTGAAAGGAGGGCGATTCGGAGCCTCCATCACCCCTGACCCGTTCATTCGAGGATCCGGATATTTAACCCTTTCGAGCGCAGATTTAGTGAAGACTAAGTAAATGGATTGAACTTATCTTCCATATTTCCTCAAACCTACGACTACCTTAAACTGTCAGTAAGAAGCACTGTTCAGAAGCTTCCTGTTATTCTAACCATTACATAAATACAAAAGCAGCTTTTCAAAAACTCAGTTGGTCTCTTTTTTGCAATACAAAACACCACCAGGGCAGTGCAGGGAACGGGAAAAGGAATTGAGATGTTCACGCTCAGACACCAATTACCCACAGTGAATACAATCACCGTGTCCTGCAATCACGGACTAATAAAAACTCAGCAACGGCAAAACGGAACACCATCCCCTCCCACTCCACTCCCCAAGCTTCCCAGGCCCTTCCTGGACCTTGCGGGAGGATTTATCAGCTTCGTCGCCCAACCTACCCTCCTGTGGGCTTTAGGGGTCCAAGGCTGGCTAGAGGCAACACGGCATTTAGAACAACAAGGCGTCTTATTGTAAAAGCGTTCCCCTCCCTCCGAAGGCAAGTTCCTCCCACCACCGCGGTGATGTGCTGAGGGAGGAGACACTGCCGCAGTTTACATGTATCAAACCTTCAAACTAGGTGTAGAGAGATGAGGAGAGCCCCCGCAGTTCCCCGGCCCGTGGTGTCAGTAATCTGCCTTCGAAATCCCGCCTGACGGGCTCCACTCGGGTATGGCTTTAAACCGCCTGACATTTCGAAGTGCCCCGAACGTTCGCAATTCACAAAGAACCTTGGCGGACTCGCTTCACACACGGACAACGAGGGAACTTTACGAGCGGGTGAGCGACGTGACGTCGTGTTAGTCATAGTCTTGAACACGGGCTGTCCTCCCGCGTCCCGACGCAGGCGAGTTTCCCTGACTCCCACAGCCCCACAGCCCGCTAAAGAAGAGCTCAGTCACGCGAGTCAGGGCTCGAAAGCGGCGACCCCGCGCGGGCCCGCGCACGGCCCCAGGTGCGAGCGAGGGGCACCTGCCCGACGCCGGCCGGGC